ATCCATATAAGACTATCAATACTTAATCCATGCAAGACTATCAATGAATACTAAAACATTATGTTTACTTAACATGTAATGTCAAAAGAACATATTTATTATTCCATTGCTACAAATTGTAGAATAAAGAAAACTTTTTTATACTGACAAAAAAATTCTTGACTACCTGATGGAGAATATACAAAGAGGGAGTGGAGAAGTAAAAGTAAGCATGAAAGAAAATTTTCATATATGAGATCAGCTTACTGCCTTGAATCAGTGATATATATCATATATAAATATATGAATATAAAATAATATATAAATATAATATATATTTTTATATGCTTATGTTGATAATTTTCAAAAATTAGTCATTTGATCAACCTGAAATGTATGAAGATTTTTAGATCTAAAGTATCCTTTTATAAGGCTAATTATATAAATCAATTTGCCTGATCAATGAAGAACTAGCTGGAAATTTCTTTTAGAAAATGACAGTGCCTTGAACTATGTTGGCAGTGGCAAAATGAAGAGATATAAGACAATTTGTGAAATATTTAGGGACTAAACTGACAAGAATCAACAAATGTCCATGATTTACCCAGGGTCAACCCATTCTAAAAATTTCCAGAGTAAAAAGCTAGGGAAGATACCATTAATAAAGTCCCCTAAAGTTGTAAGGATAGTTACCATGGACTCAAATGACCTGAGAGAAAACCAGAAATTCTATTTAACTGCTAAAAATATTTCAAAGCAGAAAAAAGAGGGGGAAGAGAGAGACAAAACATTGTGTAAGTACTGAAGTTATACCATATTTTCCAATAGTTGTCTCTTAATATTAAACATAAAAATAAAAGTAGGAAAATAAGATTTGAGATCACAGCGGAAAGTTCAAATAAAGTATATGTCATAGTAGTCAGATTTCCTGATCATAGTGTACTTGTTGACTCTCTATTTCACTTTAAAGTTTAAAAAGTGGGGGACTGGAAAGATAGCTTTGTCTGTAAAAATCTTGTCTTGTAAGCAAGAAGAGCTATTTTTTTTTCTAAAAAATATATTTAATGTATATTTTTATTGAATTTTGTGCATTTCATACAATGCATCTTAATTATATTTAGACACCCTCCATTATCTGCATCCCCCACTGGATTTCATGCATTCTATCATATATATTACAGTCTGTTGAGTCAAGTTTGTGTCTCCAGATGTCCCTCAGTGTGAGTTCATCCACTGGAGCCTGGTGAGCGTATCTAGCATCACCCCCTTAAAGAAGACCATCTCTCCCTTACCAGCAGTGATCAGCTGCCAGTAGTGCCTCAGTTAAGGCTGAGGCTTCTTACCCATTTCCTCACTTCTATGCTGGGTTTTTGTCTGCTTTCATTTTGCATGGGTCTTGTGCATGCTGTTACACTTGCTGTAAGTTCACATGAGCAAGTTCCTGGTCACCTCGAAAACTGTTTCCTTGTGGTTATCTACCACTCCTGGCTCTTAAAGTCTTTCTGTCCCCTCTTTTTCAATGAAGAAGGCGTAAGTTTGAACCAGGGCACATACACGAACAACAACAACAACAACAAAAATAGGGCGTGATACTATACATTTGTAATCCCACCACTGAAGAGGCAAAGACTGGTGAATCCCTGAGAGTTGCTGGCCAGTCAGTCTGGTGTCCTTTATGAGTTCTCAGTTAGTGAAAGTTCCTGTCCCCATTACAACAAGTTCAACAGTGTCTGAGGAACAACATTCAAGGTTATCTGCTGACCTCTATACATAAACACCCCCACACACAAATATAAATGTAAGAAGAGATCCTCCAAATTTTTAGAATGCTTTCCTACTCACAGATTTTTTTCCATACACCCATACACAGTATCTCTCTTAAGGGCTGCAGCAGTCTTTTGAGCATATTAATAGGTAGAATTTTCTGTGAGGAAAGTGTTACACCAATTTTGGTGTTGTGGACGCAGCATAAACTTCAGACTATTGCACACTTGGATTTTCATACCTTTTGGGCTGTCATTTGTTGAAAGGTAAATTATTTCTCACATTAAATATGTCTGATCTCTTTTCTTCAAACTTCCTTCTTCCCGCCTCCCATTGTTTATTCATGGCCATTAACTACTTCCTTCACTGTCAATCTGTAGGCACATAGTTCTCCAGGCTCTGAGACATTCTACCATCCTGCCTGTTGATTCAATCCCCTTTGAATAAACATAGTTAACATGCATCAGTAGGTGTCAAGTTGTGATGACTATTCAAATAAAGTCTTCAATGTATCTGTGTATTTCAGTTATAAATTCCTGTTTCCCATTACTACAGTAGGATCACCCATTTCACAGTTTGACATCTTTTGAGTAAGTTTGCTTTTTGCCATAAGGAACAATTTGCAAGACCAAAAAATAAGCAATATGCTATACCCAAGCAGGGCCTCACCTGTTATATTCTCAGCAAATAAATGTTCACTTCCTCAGGTGGAACTATCTACAGATCATTTGTTCTAAAGCATTCTTTTATGATAATTTCCCAAAAGCCCATGAAATTGCTAAGTCTAGCTAATAAAGCAAAGGAATAGAAGACTAGTCTAAGTTCCGCTAATATGTAATATACCAACATGTCCTTGCTTCAGTTTGTTCATCTGTGAAACAGAGTCGATTATACACTCTTTCTTCCTCTTTGGGGTTTGAGTAATCTCCTTTGGGCCAAGGTCAATAAATGCCCATGTTTCTAAGTGCACAAGATACAGCTATAATCCCTTCTTGTAGAAGTCTGCAAAATTTGGAAACGTCAGGTGTAATGGCCTGTTCCAACAGTTCCAGCACTTGGGAGACTGAATCAGGAGGATCATGAGTTCAAGGTCTGTCTGAGCTACATAATGAACACCTGTCTAAAAGAAAAGAAAAGAAAAGAAAATTCTAAGGAACAGAAAATTACAATAAAAATAATTGAAATGTGAGTCTCAGAAGAAAAATCTCCATGTGCCTTCTGGGACACAGACACCTTGCCTAGATCCAGAGGGCTAAGGAATTTAATAACCATGGAAGCACACAATATTTCTATGAAGAAACCTTCCTTAAAACTCTACCCCCTTTGATCTCCTCTACCTTTTTATTCTCCAGTTGCATCTGTATCTTTACACAGTGTGTGGGAACTCCTCTACAAAGAACAGTTGGAGTACCCCACATGAACCTCTACTAGTAGTTGTCCATCAAAAGGAAGAAAAGTCTTCTGTAAATGCTCTTCCTTGGATTGTGTAGTTCAAGGGCTTAAAAAATGCAAACAATTTGGAAACCTACTGGCTTCTATACAAGCAAATGTTGGCAAAGCTTTGCACAAAATCAAAAGCCCACGTGTACCTGAAAAGTGTTTCTGACATTCGTGTGTTTGCACACTTAAGTGATTTTGCCTTTGCACGTCTGGAGAAGTGAAAGTGCTTGTCAGGGATGATTCAGGACAGGAAGAAGGGTAGAAAATGGGGTAGAAATTACCTCTGGTTTCTGGGGACCAGAGTCCCAGAGCAAATGGCAGGTTGCCAAGACTTCCAATCTTCCTTTATGGAGGAATTTCAAAGATTCCAGGGGGAATTGGCTTGGCTGCTGCTTGTTCTTTAATTTGGGGGGACTCTCCCTTCTGGTTGTCCCTGTGGGCCCCAAAAAGGACTCTTGAAAGCTATTGGTAGCTGGCACTGTTATGAGCCCTTGCAGCCACCCCCAGTCCGAAGATTTTGTTTTGGGAATGGGCTTCAGAATCCAATCCGGCCTGTGCTAATGTTCTAGATATCCAGTAGCCTTGTCTGTCAAATAAAGCTCCAAGTTAAAGCTCCTGCTCTGGAGCCTAAAGCCTAATTCAGGAAAGCAAAGGGTATTTGGGAAAACGGGTTCCTCAGAGGCCACAGCGAGTCCCTCCTGCCCTCACCCACACTGCGCCAGCACTCCTCTCTCCAAAGCCACCCAGCGCTAGCTCGCGGTGAGGGGAGAGGAGAAGAGGAAAGGGGAGGGGAAGGGAGGGAGGGAGAAAGGAGGTGGGAAGGCGAGGAGGCCAGCCCGCAGGGGCGGGACCGACTCACAAACTGTTGCATTTGCTTTCCACCTCCCAGCGCCTCCTCGGAGATCCCTGGGAGCCAGCCTGCTGGGAGAACCGGAGGGTCCGGAGCAAGCCTGAAGGCAGAGAAGGCAACAGAGGAAAAGAGACCGAGCTAGCCTCTCCAGTGTCATACAGCAGCTGAAGGGACGCACCGTGCCAGCCGGAGCCCAGCCACAGCCCACGCCTGTTGCAGCGCGGCGGCTTCGAAGCCGCCGCCCCGGAGCTACCCTTTCCTCTTCAGTGAAGTTTCTAAAAGCTGCTAGAGACTCTGAGGAAGAGAGAAAAGTGCTGGGTAGGACTACCGCTGCCTTTGTCCTCCTCCCCTCTACCCCCAACTCCCTCCTGGGTCCCCTCTCCAGCAGTTGACGCGGCAGGCTGTCTGGCCAACCCTCTCCCTTTCACCCTAGCTCTGCCAGCCAGTTTTGCAGAGGTAACTCCCTTTGGCTGCGAGCAGGCGAGCTTGCAGGACGTTGCAAACAAGGCTTTAAGGGAATCCAGAGCCTGGAGCAGCAGCACGCCAGGAGAGTCCCTGATTCCCTATTTTCCCCCTCTACCTCCTCTAGCCCGCCCCCCACCCTGTGTGTGGAGCTAGAAAATCTAAAGATGAAAAGGCAGTCAGGGCTTCAGTAGTCGAAACCAAACCAAAACGAAAAGAAAATAACCCATTTCTTATTTGCACCTGCTTCAATGGACTGAATGTGAAAGGCAGAGGATTTTCCCTCGCCCTCACCCCCGCCCCCGTCAACTTTCGAGCATCTTTTGAATCTATTTCAAGTATTTAGGGACAGACTGTGAGCCTGGCAGGGCAGATCCTGTCTTGTGCGTGCCTTCCTCTGCAGGAGACTTTGAGGCTATCAGAGCGCTTTTGTTTTTTTTTTTTTTTTTTTTTTTTTTTTTTTTTTTAAAAAAAAAAAAAAAAAAAAAAAAAAAAAGAGTTTCTTCCCTGGAGCTTCCCGCAGGTGGGAAGCTAGCTGCAGACGCAGACACAGCTACATCATCGCAGTCCCAACTCTTCAGAGCAAGAAGACAGGAGGCCGGATAAGGGAATTTGGTGGAAGATAGAGACAAGCTCAAGGATGGAGGTGCAGTTAGGGCTAGGAAGGGTCTATCCGCGGCCCCAGTCCAAGACCTATCGAGGAGCTTTCCAGAACCTGTTCCAGAGCGTGCGCGAAGCGATCCAGAACCCGGGACCCAGGCACCCTGAGGCAGCCAGCATAGCACCTCCAGGCGCCTGTTTGCAGCAGCGGCATGAGACCAGCCCCCAGCGGCGGCAGCAGCAGCAGCATGGTGAGGATGGCTCTCCCCAAGCCCACATCAGAGGCCCGACAGGCTACCTGGCCCTGGAGGAGGAGCAGCAACCTTCACAACAGCAGTCGGCCCCAGAGTGCCACCCTGAGAGCAGCTGCCTCCCAGAGCCTGGAGCTGCCACCCCGCTTCCTGGCAAGGGGCTGCCGCAGCAGCCACCAGCACCTCCGGATGAGCATGACTCAGCTGCCCCATCCACTTTGTCCCTACTGGGCCCCACTTTCCCAGGCTTAAGCAGCTGCTCCACTGACATTAAAGACATCCTGAGTGAGGCCGACACCATGCAACTCCTTCAGCAGCAGCAGCAGCACCAGCAGCACCAGCACCAGCACCAGCACCAGCACCACCACCAGCAGCAGCAGGTAATATCCGAAGGCAGCAGTAGCGGGAGAGCGAGGGAGGCCCCTGGGGCTCCCACCTCTTCCAAGGACAGTTTCGTAGGGGGCAATTCCACTATATCTGACAGTGCCAAGGAGTTGTGTAAAGCAGTGTCTGTGTCTATGGGATTAGGTGTGGAAGCATTGGAACATCTCAGTCCCGGGGAACAGCTTCGGGGAGACTGCATGTATGCGTCGCTTCTGGGAGGTCCACCCGCTGTGCGTCCCACTCCATGCGTGCCACTGGCCGAATGCAAAGGTCCTCTGCTGGGCGATGGCCCAGGCAAGGACACTGAAGAGGCTGCTGAGTATTCCTCTTTCAAGGGTGGTTACTCCAAAGGGCTGGAAGGAGAGAGCCTAGGCTGCTCTGACAGCAGTGAAGCAGGTAGCTCCGGGACACTTGAGCTCCCGTCCACCCTGCCTCTGTACAAGTCCGGGGCAGTGGACGAGGCAGCAGCATACCAGAATCGTGACTACTACAACTTTCCACTTGCTGTGACCGGACCGCCGCCACCTCCACCCCCTTCCCATCCACACGCCCGCGTCAAGCTGGAGAACCCACTGGACTATGGCAGCGCCTGGGCTGCGGCCGCTGCTCAGTGCCGCTACGGGGACCTGGCTAGCCTACATGGAGGGGGTGCAGCGGGACCCAGCTCCGGATCACCCCCAGCCATGGCCTCCTCTTCCTGGCACACTCTCTTCACAGCAGAAGAAGGTCAATCATACGGGCCAGGTGGTGGGGCCAGCGGCAGCAGTCCAAATGAAGCAGGGCCTATACCCCCCTATGGCTACAATCCCCCGCCTCAAGGACCGGCGGGCCAAGAAGGAGACTTCCCTGCCTCTGATGTGTGGTACCCCGGTGGCATGATGAACAGAGTACCCTATCCCAGTCCCGGTTGTGTCAAAAGTGAGATGGGACCGTGGATGGAGAACAACTCCGGACCTTACGGGGACATGCGGTAAGTTTCTCGTAGAAATGCAGCCTTTCGACCTTGGTCTCAGAGCAGCACAGTGCATCTTGGGAGATCTAGGCACCCCTGCCCAAGAGAACATTCTGACTGATCCTAGGACAGCTCAATCCAGTTCCATAGGAAGCATTGCCCTACATCTGGAGCCCTCCTGGGGACTCCCAGCCTGTGAAATTTTCTACCTAAGCGCTCCAAATTCTTGCTGCGCTCTCTCCTTGCTCCCTGGGTGCTGATTGGTGCCCTTCCAGATTCCTTGACAAACTCCTCCAGTCGCCTAAAATCCTCCTTTATAATCTTTCTGGTATTCCAAGTCCCGCGGGATCCGAGCTTAAACCCGATTGCACGAGTCATTTTTAGAGATGAAGCTCATAAGCCCTCCACTGTTTTATTTCGTCATTTTCTCAAAGTCCTAGAAACTTCATAAAAAATTCGGGAAATTTCTCCTCTGTGGGTCTGTTAATACCCACCTCCCAGCCTGTAATTGGACTTGGCAAAAAAAAAAAAAAAGGAAACCCAAAACAAGACAAAAAAAAACCCTCATCTCAGCCCGCATTCTCCAAAGGGAGAAAATGCAGTTCTCAGTACTCAGAAAAAGAAAAGCGGAAAGCGGTGTCTGGTTGCCTAGGGTTCCTGTGTGAAGTTTCTTCTGCAGAAGCAACCTGGGACTTGCTCTAAGGTTGGGGGTGGGTCTAGAGAATCCAACTAGGTATATTTAAAGCAGCTAGATGGGGCAACTTTCCTGGTAAAGATTGGGCAAAGTTTACTCCCTCAGATTTCTCAGCATTGGTTGACTGTGTTTTCAGTTGCTTGGGTCTGGTTTCTCTCGTAAAATGCTCATTTTCTCTGTAAATCATAACACATCAAAGTCTCTACTTCAGATTTGCATTAGATCTAGAAAGAATGCACTGTCAATAAACAATTTAATCAAATTTTAATTTGACTCATCAGTGTTGCAAAAATATGTAAAATGTTCTGCTACTTGAATGTGCTCAGAAATTTATACTGGATTGGGAGGAGTGAGGCTCCTCATTCTATTTTTCATTTTAAGAGCATGTTTAAAGCATGAGTTGCTAGTGCTGGAAAATTGGTTAAGAAATGTCATTGACCTATGAACCTTAATGTTGCCCCCAGAGTTTTAATTAGAACAGGAGAAATGTGAGAAATTTTACCTAATTAAAAATATTATGTGCTGCAGTTCTTGAGCTTCTTGAAGACTAGTTGAAAAAATTTCCCCAGTAAGTTAGGACAACCTGTTCATCTGATGATAGGGAGTTTTGCCTTGGTAATTAATGCCTTGGCTTGGTAAGGTGCTGATGTCCCTGTGGGTTTATGTCTCTGGGTTTCTCAAACTATTTTCTTGTATTTGTAACTTACCCAAAATTTCTTTGTTAAGAGTAACATATTTTTTGGTGACTTGAATCTAAGAATTTGTATTCTTTTAATCATATTAGTTGTTACTCCAGTGTCAGCAAAGAAAGAGGAGGCTATGCTTTCATAAAATACTATTTTCTGAGCTGTTGAAGAAATAACTTCTCTTCAGGCTTTATTTTGTTTTTAAGAGCTGTCTTACAAGTTTTTCAGAGATTTTTGTGATAACATCAAATCTTTTCCAGTTAATTTAGTGTTTATTTTTGTGATGGCTTATACTGTGGGATAAAAGGTCTTCATTTTGTGGGAATAGATTTACTTGGTAGCGTTAATTATTTTCTAGAACTGACAACTAGAGAACGGAGTTTCTCTTTCACTACAAACTTGTCTTGGGGGTGGGGATATCTTAAGTACTTCCTAACCTACCAGGATGCTTGAACCTTCCATCACCTGCATATCCCACCCCAACTTGCTCAATTAGAAAGAAGGAAACTAATTGTTCCTTACACTTCTTTAAGAAGATGCATTTCTGAAAATTCAATCCGAATTTTCAGCAAGTGGATAATAATTCTTGTCAGCAACTGTATACTCATCTTTCTGATTTTATCCCAGTTATTAATAGGGGGAAATCACTTTTCTATTAGAATGATTGTTGTGCTAGGATGCCTCATTGACACTCTTGAAATTACTGAGCTCAACTAGGGAAAATTTAGCAATACTCAAGGGAAGTACAAAATTATTTAATCTTTCCTAGTCTGTGATTATTGCATGTAAAGGAGGGTAGTTCTGTTACTGTCTAGTGGGTCGACAGTTTCCGTTTCCAGAGTATAAAAAAATCTTTTGAATCAATTTATTGAAAATTCGTCCATTGATTTAAACAGAATGCAATCAATTTCACTCTAAATTTGGAAATGTTTTCTTACTTTCTTTTTCTTTCCCTCACTTTTATGGGCATAATTTGATGAAAGGGAAGGAATTTCTAAAGCCAAACCTAGACTTTATTCCCTCTCCAAATGGTATGCATTAAGTGATGATTTTGAGTTTAAAAAATCTCAAAATTCTAGAAGGTCCTAGTAACTTTTGGTGTTCCCTCCTTTTCCAATTGTGTGTTAACATGAACATTAGTTAATTGAGGGAAGACTTTTTAAAACTTGACTAACTGCACCATTAACTCTTTGATATAATACATCAACAACATTTTTTTCTGAGAAAAGAGAAATGGAAGGTGGTCCTATTTTTATTTAATTTAGCATGGAGTTCTATTCAGCAGTAAAGAAAGATGAAATAATGAAATTTGCAGGTAAATGGATCT